GCCTTGAGGGCTCCCAAGCAACTGAGAATGAATGATGTGGCCCAGGAAAGAAGTGGCCATAGAAGGCGGAGTGATGGTGGCCAAAGGAACTTAGATTAAAAAACAAAGTTCTTCAACTCCACTCCAGGTGTCAGGGTTTACTGCTTCCAAAGGTTCCAATCTTGGAACCAGCGCCTGGCTCACGCTGGAGCAAGAAAAGATCGACTTCAGCCTGGGAAAAGGCAAGACATTAGAGCCCAGCGACACCACTGAGGGGCTCGAGCGCTTTCTGATGTTTTGCTTGGAAAGGCAGAATCTTGCCGCTTGGTGCCTCAGCTAATGGGCCTCCATCTGACACTCCGGAGAGCTCGTCTGATTAGAAGCCACAGCTGCCTTGCTCATTATTTCTGATTAATTGACAGCACCTGGCATCTCTGGGTGATGGCCTTGCTCAGGACCCAGGTGCGACCTACACAGCCAACAAAATCGCAGTGGTTTTGCAGCCCTGAGGAGGGAAGCAGTCTCACCTGAAAGCACCATCTTATATCATTCCCAGTCCCTGGGAGCCCAATTTGATGAACTGGTTTGTCCTTCTTGCTAGTTCCCTTGCTGCCAGTCTGAAATAACTGATGTGAACTCAGTTAATTCATTGGAGAAGTTTGTTTTAAATCTAAGCAATCCCACTTGATCTCTAGCCTCCACCCCACAGTTATTGTTCTTATTGTAAATTAATGCTCTAGCACCCTGCTGTTAAAAAAAAAAAAAAAAAGACAACAAGCCTGAGGCGGGAGATAGATGGGCCCCAAGCTGAACAGTTTCTCCCCTGTGGACAGAAACTCCATAAAAGCAGGATGATGGAGGAGGCTGGGCCCTGCCCAGATAAGAGATAATAGACGACATATTCCTTATTCTTGAAATAAAGGAGACCTCCCTGACTACACATGCACAGAAAGGCTCCTTGGAGGTCAAAAAGGGAGGGGGCACCAACTCATAGTAAGTGATGTCGACTACCCATAGGCCTCTTCACTGGAATCCATCTTGGCTAAGAGATACACACGCACACAGGGAGGACCCTGAGATATACCAAATATGGACTCAGAACCAGGTAAAGCAACATGATTGGTCAAAGGAAACCCAGAAGAAATGCCCCATATGAGTGATTCAAACTGCCACGAGTGTGTCACTCTCTCTCTGGGCCCACCCGCGTGTCTATCCACGTGTACACTTCTTTCTCCTAATAAACACTTTACTTGCTTCACTACTTTCCGTCTCTGTGTGGAAATTCATTTCTACACAGCTGACGGGCCAGGGCCTTGTCACTGACCACTGGTCTAGTGGCTAAGATTTGGTGCTCTCACTGCCGTGACCCGACCTCAATCACTGGCCAGGAACTGAAACCCTGCTTCAAGCCGCTGCAAGGCCGAGGCCACCGGAGATAAGGCCCAAAATGGAGTCAGTTGCGCTAAGCCGCATGTCAGCAAACCAAGACTTATTACCTAATTGCAGTTTCAGCCTCTCCCAGGAAAGTAACCTTTAACCAGTCAATCTGGAATTACCTGGCCAGCACTACTGAAGTAATTCGCCCCATAGACCCTTTCTGTCCCCCATAGGAAGGTGACTTTGCCTGAAACAATCCACTCTTTGCTAGAAACTTCCTTTTCCCACCCCCTTCTGCCTATAAAAGCCTTTCACTTGGTACAGCTCTTTGGAGCTCCTTTCTATTTGCTAGATGGAATGCTGCCGAACTCATGAATTGTGGAATGAAGCCAATAAGATTAAATTTACTCAGTTGAACTTTATTTTTATTTATTTATTTTTTTTTTTGTGGTACGTGGGCCTCTCACTGCTGTGGCCTCTCCCGTTGCAGAGCACAGGCTCCGGACACGCAGGCTCAGCGGCCATGGCTCACGGGCCCAGCCGCTCTGCGGCATGTGGGATCTTCCCGGACAAGGGCACGAACCCGCGTCCCCTGCATCGGCAGGCAGACTCTCAACCACTGCGCCACCAGGGAAGCCCTGAACTTTATTTTTAACACTCATTTGGAATCTTGAGTTGCTCAAGAGAAGGGATTAGTTGTGGTGTGTGGACAAGCAAGGTGTCCTAACCTGAAGGCTGAGGGCAGGTGGTCCCTTGGGAGACACAGTGTTATCTTTCTGGTGATATCCAACCTCCTCCTGGAAACTTCCATTAGCCCCTAGGAGCTGCTCAGAATCCATTGATAAAAATACCTGATAAGTCTCACACCTGTCAGGAAAAATTGTAAAAGACAATTTTGAAATGGGCAAAAAGTTAATCTGGAAGGGTGTTAGAGAACACCTAGGTATCTGATTCTATAAGAATCTGTGCCTTTCCTAGTCTTTGACTAAGGTATTTTACAAAATCAATAGTAATGCAAATAACTCTTACCCATAGAGATGCAATTGATTTCTGTCTGTGAAAGCCATTTTTGCCTCTATCAGCAAATTCATGACTGCATTCCTGATCACCTTTGTAAATCTGTTTTTTGGATTCTCCTTTGAACCAGTTTTTTCCATCTTGCAGTTTCCCTCAATGAATGAGTTCAAACAAGATCTCTGACATGTTTTAATTTTATATTTGTGGGATGATTTTTTTTCGTTGTTCTTTAACATACCTCATATCTCCCTTTTTACCCCTGGCTATTAGGAAGGCAAAATTTTAAGATTAAGTTGTCTTATTTTTTAAACTTTTTACCATGGGGGCACACCCATAGGCTGGAGCTGCAACCTGGTCCAGGAGGGTGGAGTGTGGGGTCTCCCAAGAGAGTGAACAGGTGCACTTGGAGCCCACAGGATGTGCTATGTGACTCTGGGTGCAGTTTTAAACACTCAAAGTGTTGACTCACGGAGAGTTTCCCAGGATATAATAGGGACTTTCCCCAAATGCCTGGGAAAGAGGCGGCCTGAGCAATGGGCCTGCCATCTTCCTCCCTTTCCCACGGAAGCTCCACCTTGAGGCGGGAAGGCAGGGTTCTCTGATATTACCGCTGGAGGTGGCCTCTCCGCCCGAGCTGAGGGCACCCACCTCCTGGAACTAGCTGGGGCTGACACTTGAGGTTACGTCCTCGGCACACTTCCTTCCCACACCAGACGCAGCCACTTCCTCTGAGGACAGCAGAAGTTGAATGAGAAAAGAGTTCCCAAGATGTTGCAACACCCAGGACGATGAGGGCAAGTAACAGGTGGGTGGTTGTAGCGAGGACCGTCTCCCAGGGGATCCTGGGAGTAGCCTTTGCTTGGAGACCAGCTCTGAACACACACTGCATTCCAAGTGTCACATGAATCCTCACCATAATCCTGACGTCGAGAACTCCCCCATCTGAAACAGGATGATTCTTAGGAGGAGGAAACGGGCTCGGGCAGGGGTGGAGCTGGGTGGGATGTGAGACAGGCCATCTGGCCCAGGGGTCGTGCTGCATGACCCAGGATTCCACCAAGTGCTCTGTTACTCGGTCTTCAGACAGTCCCATCTTACAGATGAAGTGACCGGCCAGCCCGGCCGTGGCAGGGAGCCAGGCTGGCTTTTTGTCAGCCTCCAGGTTTTACTCGGCTGCTCGGTCGATCTCCCTGACAGAGACGGCCCATCCATGGCACTCAGCCCTTCAGTGGCTCTTTTTCATGTTATCAGCCCTATGTGGCCAGCCTCTCCACTCTCCCCCTTACTGGACATCCAGGTCCTCTATTTCTACAGCCACAGGTTCTCACCATCCTCTCCTCCCTCCACACCCACCTCCCCCATTTTGCCCAGCTAGGACCTGCTCATTGTTTGAGGATTTGCTCCAGGATCACCACCTCCAGGAAGCCCACGCTTTCTACCCCTGAGTCTTTTACTCCCGTACAGCACACCTGATGGGGGCGGGGGACAGGATTCCTTCTTGATGGAACTCCGCTGGCCCAGAGTACTTCACACACCTGAATCAGTTGGGGATTTTGTTGAGATGCAGATTCTTAGGTCTGGGATGGGGCCCCAAACTCTGCCTTTCCCACAGATCCCCAGGTGATGCCCAACGGTGTTCACAAAACCATGCTTGGAGGGGAAGGACCTAGGCCTTCCTGTACTTCTGAGGCCCAGAATCTCACAGATCTTGCTCTGAACATATTTAAGTGCCATTTGACTCCAATCAGTTTATGCCTAACAGCCCTGCCCAGCAGGTACCAGCCCTGTTTTGCCCCCAAGGATGCCCAGGCTCACAGCAGGTGACTAGCAAAGCTGGGATTCCACGGTGAAGGAGATCTTCACCCAGTGAGAATGAGTCTCAGCCGGTGGTGAGGTTGGGGAGCTAAGGGCCAGCCAATGGTGGGGACGTCACAGCCCTCAACAGCGGAAGCACGGCCACCTCCCCTGGAGAGGGGCCACAAGCTTCCTGGGCACCACCGGGGCACCATTCCCTTGCTGAGCACTCCCAGAGGCTGTGGCCAGGGACTGGGGGAACACGGCAGCTTCTGGGGGGGAGTGATGAAAGTGGAGGAGGCCGAGAGGTAGCTCCCCTCGGTCACAGGAAGCCCTGAAGCACCCACAGCTGGTGACTTGGCCATGACACTCACCCCCCAGAAGGGCTCCCCTACAGCAACTTCAGGTCCCAGGTGACCATGCCCTAGACCATCACTTCTGGCCTTTGAGCTTCTAGCACGTGGACATGTGGCTTTGTGCCTGCTGCCATTAGGGAAGGCGACTAGAAGTCCTTTCCTCCCTGCCCCCAGCCCTGGCATCTGATCCATAGGGCCCAGAGCCAGGACCCTCTGGCCCCCTAGAAGCGGGGCTGGCAGGGCCCACCCTACTTTAGCCCCCAACACCTCTCACTCATCTTGGCCTCCTTGGAGATGTGGGATTATACTTGCCCTGGGAAGACAAGCCCCACCCGCTCTGCTACACAGACTTGCTAAAGACACAATGGCACTTCAATTTCGCTGCTTGCACCCACGACCCTGTTACAGTCCACCCTCCGCCCCTACACAGCCCCTCCCAATTCACCCCCATCTAGTTACTGTGCCACACCCCAGAGGTCACTTTCTTTTTTTATTGGGAAGCAGACACAGGGCACACGGGGTGGGAAGCAGCCCGACGCTTCCCCGTGAAACCCAGGACGATGGTGGCCAGAGTCAGGGACACCACAGTGGCCAGGCCTAAGCCCAGCATCACCGAGGGGGGAGAGGAGGTAGACCCTTCCACACTGTGGTCTCTAGTCTTCCCCAGGAAGATCAGTGGCCCCACTGTGACATCTGCTTCTTCTGTCACTGAAAGACAAGACATCCAAGGGTCACCTTAGTCCATACACAGGAGTCAGGTTAGGGGTTTGGGGCTGCTCAGTGGGTTCTAGACCAGTAGGTTTAGTTCTAACAGCTGCATTGTTCTCCCACACCCCTGATTATGTGTCATGACTCCAGGATGACTACAGAATGGCCCCGGCCGACAGCAGGGTGAAGGCTTGGGGCCTCTCTCACTTAGCACCGAAATGGCATCCCCCTAGGGGTAAGCAGCCTTAAATGGGGAACAAGTGTCACCCTAGAGTGACATCCGGTGCCCTAGACCGAGGGGAGGGCAATAGACCTGAGGCCCTTTGGAGACCTACCATGCCTGCGACTGCGGGGAACAGACTGTCCCTCCAGGTGGCGCAGTCTCCTGGAACGGCCTGATACGCCACAGCTCCCCTTGTTACAGCATCGACAGATATCAACAGGGCCTTCTACCGGGGACCATCTGAGAGGGAAAGACACAAGGGTCAGACGGCTGAGCAGTCTGCAGGAAGAGGTTTGCTGATAGTAGGCACCTTGGGGGAATCAACAGGAGCGTGGCCAGTTTGCTACAGCTGTTATGTCCAATCTGGTCTCCTCACCTATTGGAGGACTTGCTGAAGGAACAGGCCTTGCTTATTTGGTCTGGGATTCGGTCAACCGGAGTGACCTTCAGGTGGCAGGTGATATATATCTGGAAATAAGAGCAGCTGTTACGAGGTGGAGTTCTAGGCAGTGCAGTGACTAGTAAGCCAGTTCTTCTCTAACCCTTAACCCTTGACGGGGAGGGGAAGCCCACTTTAGAGATGGGATAGTGCAGGCTCAGAGGTTAACCCTCCTCAAACTTCAGAGCAAGTCACAAATTGGATTCTAAATCGGCACCATCATCTTTATTCCTCTGGTCTTTCCCCTACTTTTCCAATCACTTAGCATGCCTAAGCCCCGGGGCCCATTAAGTCAGAACCTCAGGGACAGGAAATCGAGTCCACAAGGGCCAAAATCCCACCTGGCCAGCTGGAGTGGGGGGGGATTTTGACAAAACCAGAGCTCAGGTCAGCCTGCATCCTTTTGGAAGAGGTCCCCACAGTCAGAGGTCCCCCTTCATACTTCAGGGTCTCAACACACACATGCACACACACCCCAAATCCTGCAAAGAAACCGAGGTGCCACCGCCTTTCCTAAAGCCTTCTGCAGAACCACAAGCCTCGGCCGCCACCTAGTGGCCAAGCGTGCCTGCAGGGTAACCGTTTCGGAAACTTGAACCAGCCCGGTTGCACTTCTGGCTGCCTCTGCCTTCCATCTGCACACATACCCCAGCCCCCTCACCAAAGAAGGGCTTCCGGGTCCCTTAGTGTTCCCACTCCAGGAAGGGAACCGCTTTGAGCCTCAGCTTCTTCCCAGAACATATTGCTGATGCTAACTGGGGCCTCAGATCCCAGGGTGGTTCCTCGTTAGCTTTCCCTCTTGTGCCATAGCCGCGCCATCAGCCAAGCCACCCGCCCACCTTTGAGGGAGAGCCCTCCGAGAGCTCAAGGCTGCCTTCCGTTGATCAGGATCGTCCTCTGATCTTAGTCACCCCCACCCCATCCCTGGAGAGGCAGATGCCGGCTCAAGAGTCACCCATGCTGATGGCCACCACCTGTGTGAAGCCTCATCCCCCTCCTTCCTCACCCCTGGACCACCTGTGAGGTCGATTCCCTACCCCAACCAGCATCTTCTACCCTAGGCCCCCCAGGGTCACCGATCTGGGCACTGGCACCCTTCCCGAGTCTATTTTCTTTTATCCCCAGCCCCATTCAACCCAGGACCTGCCATCAGAAAGTTCCAGGACATCTCCCAGTAGCTTCAGTTGTGCCCTTCCTTCTATCTGTCTACTATCTGTAGCAGATAACTTCTGTTCTCCGAACAGAACTTCTGGGTGAGGTGAGGTAGCATCAGCGAAGTCTAAAAATTCACACCGCTCGTCCCTCAATGCCAGCCAGCCACGTAAGCCTCTGGTTTGGCGGTTTGTAAACCTAGCTGCTTATTGGACGCGCCAGGGGGCTTAAATAGCTTCTGATGCATTTCTAAATAAAGAGACTAGTGGCTAGGTATGGTGAGATACTGGTGGTAGAACCTAGATGGTAGGTACATAGCTGTTTGCTGTGAAATTCTTTTGGCTTCACTTTTGAAGATTTTAAGAAACTGGAAAAGTTGATGCCAGGCCCCACCTCAGTTAAATGAAAATATATGGGAGGTATCAGTATTTTGATGATCCTTAGGTGGTTAGTACAGAGCCAGAGCTGAAAATCCTTGCTTTAGTCACTAATCCTTCCTGACCAGCTATTCCAAATCTCACATCCTCCCAATCCTATCTCAGGAAACTTGTTTTAAAACTTCTTGATTTTCGTTTGTAAGATTCTACCAGCACTTTCTGGCTAGAGGCCAGTCCTACCTGTGCTTCCTGCCCAGCCATCACGAGTGATCCACGTTTTAGCTCCCTCCCCCCTCTGCCACCCTTAGTGTCAAGTTGAGCTTCCTAGCTTAGCGGTTCTCAAAGGGTGGACCCCAGAGCAGCAGCAGCATCACCAGGACCCGGAAACTTATTAGGAATGCAGATTTCAGGCTCCACTCCAAACCTTCTGAGCCAAACCCTGGGTGGGGGGCCCAGTGGTCTCTTCCAACAAGCCCTCCAGGTGATGCTGATGCACTCAGGTTTCAAAAAGTCACAGGTCTAGCCTATGACCAAGTTCGAGAGGCTACCTAGCATGAAAAGTTCACCCCTGCTTCCCTTGCCCTTCTAGAAAGGCTCCAGGAAGGCTGACACCTGCTCTTATTAAGTCCTTTACTCAACCCATCTGGGTTCTGGCCCTGCTGACCTTGGTGAGGACAAAGCCAGTGACCTGGCCATCAGACACTGCCTCGTTGGTGCTCATCCGATGTGAGCTGTCAGCTAGGTCTCCTGCGCTCCTATTCTCCTAGTTCGTTCTCTTTCCAGGATCCCTGAATTTCTCCATCCTTCACGGATTTTCCACCGGTCTCTTAGGGCCTGTGCCTTCCCAAAGATCTCACTAGAGCCCATGGCTTTTTCTGCTTGATAAGTTACTAGGATAGGGCAGAACTATTAAATCACTGCTTAAGGGGACAGCTAGTAAGTGACCACACCGGCTAGTAAGCCTGGTCAGCCCTGACCCTATGAGTTCAGCCTTATTCCAGGCTCTTAAGCCATTACCGTGTTTCTGGAGTCATTAGCAAAGTGGAACACATCCACTGTGAACTGGAGGGTCTCTGGTCTGGGTCTGGGTGCTTTGAAAGCAGATGAGGCGTCGGTGAGACCGTCCACGAGACAACTTGAAAGAGAACAAGTGAAACACAGTTAAAGATTGAGGAGGGTGACACAGGTCGTGTTGCACAAGCGTTGCCTAGAGAGGTAGCCCAGCCTTACCCGTGGAAGTCCACGATGGTGTGATAAGGGGAGGTGTTCCAGTCCGGCGTCAGCGTGGCCACACAGTGGTCCACGAACACTCGCAGGGGCACGTGGCTGCCGGTGTGGACTTGGGCCTGGAGGTGGGCTCTGTCTCCCAGCTGGAAGGTGGGCGTCGTCTTCTCGGTGCTCCAGTTCTCTGCAAGGCACGGCCAGGGTGAGGGTCTGCCAGAGCGCCCCCTGCTGGCTGTCCCCTCCCAGCTCTGCTTGCTCACCCTCCATCAGGCGCAGAGAGAAAACCAACTTCTCCTCCGAGAACATCGTGGTCCTGAAGGGCACCCAGGTGGGCAGGATGGCCCAGCTGCTCACGTTGCCCTGCCTGGGAAGAGAACAGCAGCCGTCCACACCTGGCCCGGGGCTCCAGGTCCCTGGGCTGCAGCCCCTACTAGTGACACGCTGCCCTCCTCTGGGGCGTGTACGGTTCTGCCCAGATGTGTCTGCCCACTGTCCGAGGCCCCCCTCTCCAGGATCTTGTTCTGGGAAGCCGTTCCACACATGCCTCATCCCTTGTTTCCTCATGGTATCAACACCATCTCCCCTCCCCACTCCCAGATAGGAGGGCAGGGTTCAAGACCTTCACACTCCGCCCAGCACAGGGCCAGGTGTTGTAGTTATAAACCAGTCGCCCTGTCCTCCCACCTCGATGCCCCAGTTCACAGGCACATGCTTCACGCTGGGGCCTCCCCACCCTTGCTCAGCCGCTGCGGGAAAGCCAGAGTGAGAGAGCAGGTTGTGATGGCCAGAGTCAGAGCCTGGCACCCACCCCTGCGCTATTGAAAGACCACTTCTGAGCTCTGAGGGCGCCAGTGGCCGGGCAGCCTCGCAGCTTCCACCAAGAGGCAGCTGTGGCCCGGACCAATTTCAGAGGCTCAGAGCAGAGGCAGCAGGCCCTCCATTCCCGCCAGGGCTGAGGGAAGCGACCGCAGCCCAAGCACCTCCCCCTCCTCACAGCTAGATGCTGCCAGGAGGCTGATGTGCCTGCCGAGGGACCTCTGTGCCAGGGGCAGCAACAGACCCATCCCACACGGACCTGGGGTAGCGGCACTCGATGGGGACCTCCGCGCGGTTAGTCCTCAGGATGGACAGGTTTCCCACAGGGCGGGGGTCATGGAACAGGAAGGTGCTGTACACCAGGGCGTCCTCGGTCACCTGAGGGAAAGGGGAGGGGTTAACTCTCCCAGCATCACCTGCCCTGATGTGCCCGGCCAGGGGCAGGAGGGCCGTCCGCTGGTGGTGGAGAGAACACAGGCCCTGGGCTCAAAGACTGCTCTGCCGCTGACAACGTGGGAGAGCCTGGACAGGCACCCCCTTCGCACCTCTTTTCACCCCAAAGTGGTGACACCATCGCAGGGAGTCTGGATCAGCTCCGTGTCATCACCAAGCAGAGCCCAATGACACACACACACACTTCCTTTTCCAGGAGAGGCCTGAGGCCAAGAAAGCCTCCAGGAAGAGGCGAGAAACTTCCAGGAATTTTAACTCACTGCCACAGCAGTTACTACCTAACTCGCCCTCCCTCTTCTGACTTATTCTCAAGCCCATTTCACAGAAGGGGAAGCTGGTTTTTAGCGGTTGCCTGAGGCCAGAAGAGCACAAGCAGGTGCTGCTGGGGCAGTTTGCAGCACCTGCCCCCCGACCCCGGCCCCCCAGCGAACGGCTGCCTGGCCCTGCCCTCCGCCCGCTCAAACTTCAGGGGAGAATCCTAACTGTCTATCAGCGAGGGCCCCAGGTGGAGCGGCTGCATATACGTGGTACCCAGTGCAAAGTGAAAACGTGGGGCTCCTTGTTCAAAAGGAAAGAGTTTCAGGACAGCAGAGCATCACTAAACCGAGTGCGGGCCCCGAGAACCGGCACAGGTAGCGTTCCCAGGAAGCCGCCCCGTCCCTGCAGGATCCTCATCTGGCGAGACTGGGCAACACTGTCCTGGGGAGAGGTGTCATCAGGCTGTGCCCCGCGGTGGAGTCAGCTGCGGATCTTAAAGCTACTGATGTCGGTCCCCACCTCCATTCCGCTCGGCTGTGCTCCGCGGTGGAGTCAGCTGGGGATCTTAAAGCTACTGATGTCGGTCCCCACCTCCATTCCGCTCGGCTGTGCTCCGCGGTGGAGTCAGCTGCGGATCTTAAAGCTACTGATGTCGGTCCCCACCTCCATTCCGCTTGGCTGTGCTCCGCGGTGGAGTCAGCTGGATCTTAAAGCTACTGATGTCGGTCCCCACCTCCATTCCGCTTGGCTGTGCTCCGCGGTGGAGTCAGCTGGGGATCTTAAAGCTACTGATGTCGGTCCCCACCTCCATTCCGCTTTAAGGAGGGCTGTGGGAATCAGGAGTTTTAACCACTCCCCAGGTGATTCTAATGCCCCAAGGCTGGGAGTTACTAAATTAGGATTATTCCTTAACTCCTGCGGCCTCCCTATGCTCTCCCCAGGGAAACAAGGCCCAGGAGGCTTCAAGAACAGCCCTGGGCACCACACTGAGACCAGAGCCCCAGAGGAGGACTCCGGGGGCTGATGGTGCTTCAAGGCCAGGTGGGCAGGGGGGCATGACAGAGGGGAGGACAGGCTCTCTGAGCCGGAGCAGAAGTCGGTCCAGGGAATCGTGCACCAGCTGGGCCCGGTCCGGCCCTGCCTTGCTGAAAGGCCCCTCCTCTAGTCTGAGGCTCTGCCCCTCCCCACTCTCCTTGGGAGGCATCTGGCCCGAATATTACTCAGCTCTCTTCCTGTACATGCCCCCTACTTGAGACTGCTCCTATGCGACCCACTTTGAGCCTCTTCAACACAGATGAACACGATGCCCTTTGCCCCCTCCCTCAACATCACTTTTAGTTCAAGCCTTCAAAGCCATTAAACATGAATGAGGGATGCCAAAATTCTGGTGTGTTTTTTTTCTGAGATGACTTCCGAGCTTTCTGAGGTGTCAAAGTTCATCTCTTCCATACAAGTTTCTAGGGCCCCTCACAAGTGCTGGGCTACCCACAGGGGATCCTATCACACCCTCCTCCCCTACATCAGCTACATCTCTCCTGGATGCCCTCCAGGGGTTCATAAATCCTCAGGAATCGGAGCGGGAGTGCCCAGTCTGGCCCAAAGTGCACTGCCACCTCTGGACTGCACCCCACCTCCCCAGCTTAGGCAACTAGAGGCAGGAACTCCCCCGCATCCCCATGCCACTGAGGCCCAGCTTCAGGCCTCAACTACTCCAGCCACCCGACCCCACAAATGAAAGGAATTCACCCCAGCCCCGCCTGACACCAGCTCTGCATCCACACTCCCCATCACCGGCCCCCTCCCATGTCATCCCACCGAGGCCGGGGCTGCCGAGGGGGCCCAAGCCTCACCTGCACACTGTTGCCGCATGCGTGCAGCCCAACCTCAAACCTGACCATGGTATCTGTGTCCATAGAGAACAGCGGCTCACAGTTGTCAGGGCCCAGGGTAAGGTCTGCAGGCCTGATGAGCTTCCCGGTGCCAAAAAGGTCTTTGCTGACAGTAACCACCAGCTGGTCCTCCTGACACTCCACCATCACGGCGGGTGGCTTCGATGGCATGAGATGTTGGGATTCATCATGCCAGACGGGCCGGGGGTTGCACAGCTCCAGACTCCCCCAGAGCAGAAGGCAGACAAAGAGTCTATAGCTCGGCCTCATGGTGCCTACGAAGCCACTCCCACTGGCAACTCCGGGGCAGGCACCACCCCGCCATCTTATACCCCGGATGATGGTTACTCACACCTGGGCTCCCAGTTGCCTCCCTTCCCCAGCCAATCCAGTGGGCTAGGCCTCTGCTGCTCAAAGTGGTTCCCGGTCCTGCAGCATCGGCATCACCTGGGAGTTTGTTAGAAATGCAGACTCTGGGACTTCCCTGGCTGTCCAGTGGTTAGGACCCCACGCTTCCACTGCGGGGGGGGGCCAGGTTCGATCCCTAGCTGGGGAATGAAGATTCTGCAAGTCGCGTGGCACGCTCCCCCCCCTCAAAAAAAAAGAAATGCAGAGTCTCAGCCACAGCCCAGGATGACTGAGCCAGGATCTGATTGTTTGCTATCTCCCCAAGTGACGTGTATTCACATTAAGGTTTGGCAGCCTGGTCAGTCATAACTTCTCACCCCTTCCCTACTCCCACCCCTAGGCGTCCACCCTTTGCAAGGCCTTGCCCTCATTGCCTAGAGAGGGAGCTAAGAGATATCCTGGATTGCTGGGGCGGGGTGGGGGGACCTGGAGAAAGGCCTTGATTGAAGGATGAGGAGAATTTTATCAGAGATGGGAGCTCTTTCAGAGGAGAGAATCGGAGGCATCATTAGGAGACCAGGGTATGTTGTGAGCCGCTGCTTAACTTTATGGGAGGTAGGAGGGAAGGGCGGTTCAGGCAGAGGCAGCTGTGTGAACAAAGGTGTAGATGGGGCACTGGGTGGGCTTGGGGGAAAACCCCAGGAACTCAGAGATGCTGGAGCCTCAGGTCCCCAGGGGGCAAGAGTGGCAGCTTAGGGAGCTGGGGAGGTGGGTGGGGCAGGATCGTGAAGGTGCTGGGCTGAGATGCTGGACTTTGCTCTGGGGGGCGGGGCGGGGAAGGCCACAGAAGGGTACTGAAGCAGATGCGCCATCTGGCGAGCTCTGGCTGGGGAGGGGTAGGACTGGAGACAAGGGTCAGGGGGCTACTGCACCAGTCCTGGCGGAGGAGGTAGAGAAGGACTGACAGACAAGGTCAGCCTGTACTCATGGCCTACTCTGTGCCAGGCCTGGGTGAGACTCCTTCAGGAGGGGAGAAAGAATACAAAAAAATTCACGGCACTGAATTGCCAGGGGCAGAAGTGTGTACTCTCCAGCAAATGCTTGCTTCTAATGTGACTGAACCATACGTCTAAGTCGCTTAACTGTACTTCCTTGGTGTTTTTTTTTTAATACTCTACTTGTGGAAAAATAAATAAATGCAGGGGAGAGACTGCCCGCACAACTTCTGACCTGATCAACACGGGTGGGGGGAGGGGGAGGGGGAGGGGGGAGGAAGCCAGCAGAGAGAAGCAGGTGAGAGGTCAGGCTCCAAGCTCGCCTGAGTGGCCTAGGGCAGCAGAAACCCTCCCACCTGGGTTTCCTGCCCAGCAGGCCCAGAGGGAGGGAGCCAGCTGTGGCCTGAGGCCCCTGAGGGACAGACAGCTGGAGAGAGGGGAAGGGACCCCTCAGAACTTGTTACCCACAGCCGTGGGTTGGTTGTGGTGGGCTGGGGATGAGCCTCCCTGAAGCCTCACATCCGTCAGCCTCTCTCCCTCTCTGCCTTGGAGTTAACCCCCCCTTAGAGGGCTTCAGGAAAAACAAGACAGAAATTTGTGCGGGGGCGGGGGTGAGGCATGTACTGCTAGGGGGAATCTGGGTGAGGATGGGGGAGAGTCTGGACGCACACGAGGTGGTGGTGAGCATGTGTGTTCCCCTTGTCCAGAAGGAGGACTAGAGACACCTCCATCAGGGAGCATGGCCAGTCCAGCCCCCAGGAACCCAACCCAGACCGGATTCTGGGTCTTTTACATTTTTCTGAGAAGTGCTGCCCCCTGGTGTCCATAATGCACCAAAGCACGGCCACCCGCTCAGAGCATTTTCTTTAAAATTCTTGAAAGCCCAGATAGTGGTTTCTAAACACTATTCCTCTTTAAAAGCAGGACCCAGCTCTTCTGGGAGAAATGGCTGATTCCAGGGCTAGGGCCAGGAAAGACAGGGTGAATCTGGAACACCTTGTCATGCCAGAAAATGCCCACAAGTGGTTAAGGATCTGCCTGCCAATGCAGGGGACACGGGTTCGATTCCTGGCCTGGGAAGATCCCACATGCCGTGGAGCAACTAAGCACCCCCCGCGAGCCACAGCTACTGAGCCTGTGCGCCACAACTACTGAAGCCCGCATGCCTGGAGCCTGTGCTCCGCAAGAAGAGAAGCCACCGCAGTGAGAAGCCCTCGCACTGCAATGAAGGGTAGCCCCTGCTTGCCGCCACTAGAGAAAGCCCGCGCGCAGCAACGAAGACCCAGCACAGCCAAAAATAAAATAAATAAATAAATAAAATTTTTAAAATGCTCGCAAAATGATGAGAACGTGTCAAAAGAACACAGGAGTCAAATTAATGGGGTGGGGGGGTGACTGGTCAAATTGGGGACAACTGTACATCAGAATGAATAAGGACAGTAAGGACTACACATTGAATAAAATAAGAATTCCTGGGCTTCCCTGGTGGCGCAGTGGTTGAGAGTCCGCCTGCCGATGTAGGGTACGTGGGTTCGTGCCCCGGTCCAGGAATATCCCACATGCCGCAGAGTGGCTGGGCCCGTGAGCCATGGCCGCTGAGCCTGCGCGTCCGGAGCCTGTGCTCCGCAGCGGGAGAGGCCACAGCAGTGAGAGGCCCACGTACCGCAAAAAAAAAAAAAAAGAATTCGTGAGTGTCCATGCTGATGCTAAACACAAACATAAAAACCCACGAATGAGAAAACTTTTCCCATAAAAGGGAAACTTCCTTACGATACAATGCCAACAAATGATCGTGGAAGGAAGATAGATTCAGAAAATAACCATTTGCAATCATCATGGTACTAATAGATTCAGGCAAGAAGCATTAGAGCCTGTTAAAGATCAGCTGATGGTGGGTAGGGGAAGGATGGATGGGGAGTTTGGGATTAGCAGATGCAAACTATTATATACCCGTCAGGACTAAGATCCCGCAAGGCGCTCAGCGCGACTAAAAAAAAAATAAGGGTAAACAACAAGGGCCTACTGTGTAGCGCAGGGAACTATATTCAATTCCCTGGTGGTCTAGTGGTTAGGACTCCGCCCTTTTACTGCTGAAGGCCCGGGTTCAACCCCTGGTTGGGGAACTAAAATCCTGCAAGCCACACGGCGCAGCCAAAGTTAACTCTTCTAAAATGTTCGCTATCACCTATTAAAAATTTAAAATATATATATCCCATGATAAACCAAAAAAATTAGCTGATGCTGTGATGAAGATGTTAGCTAACCCTATAATCATTTTGCAGTATAAAGTCAAATCAACGTGCTGTACACCTTAAACTTATACAATGTTTTATGTCAATTATATATTGATAAAGCTGGGGGGGAAGCTCTGGAGATGTATGGTGGTGATGGTTACACAACTATACTGAATGCTATTGAACTGTACACTTAAAAATGGTTAAAACGGTCAATTTTATGTTATGGATATTTCACCACAATAAAAACAATAAAAACAAAGCAAAACTAGTTGATAGAAGTTAGAATACATAGTCTCGAAGTTTCTCCTTAAGGATTCTTTATTAATTACAAAAGAATAAAGGCTTCCCTAGTGGTGCAGTGTTTGGGAATCTGCCTGCCAATGCAGGGGACACGGGTTCGAGCTCTGGTCCGGGAAGATCCCACATGCTGCAAAGCAACTAAGTCCGTGTGCCACAACTACTGAGCTTTCACTCTAAAGCCCGCAAGCCACAACTACTGAACCCGCGTGCCACAACTACTGAAGCTACACGCCTACAGCCCGTGCTCCACAACAAGAAGCCTGCGCACCGCAACGAGGAGTAGCCCCCACTCGCCGCAACTAGAGAAAGCCCGCACGCTGCAACGAAGACCCAACGCAGCCAAAAATAAAGAAAGAAAGAAAATTAATTTTTTAAAAAATTACAGGGCTTCCCTGGTGGCGCAGTGGTTGAGAGTCCGCCTGCCGATGCAGGGGACACGGGTTCGTGCCCCGGTCCGGGAGGATCCCACACGCCGCGGAGCGGCTGGGCCCGTGAGCCATGGCCGCTGAGCCTGCGCGTCCGCAGCCTGTGCTCCGCAACGGAAGAGGCCACAGCAATGAGAGGCCCGCGTACCGCAAAAAAATTACAAAGGAATAAGTGGCCACTTTACAGTGGATAAATCTGGCAAATAGCACTTTAGCCACATTGTCAAACTAACTATTAATTGAATAAACATTATTATTTATTTGGTGGGATAAAAGGACATCACATACTTCCTGATGTGAGGAGATGATACCCAGGGTTTAGAAAAAAGTTATGTATGTGTAAATATGTGTGTGTGTGTAACACACATGTGTGTGTATCATATGTGTGTATATGTGTATGGTTATATATGTGTATGGGTATATATATGTATGGGTATATATATATAAAATTACTTGTGTATACATATTACATACATACAGAGATAGAAAAAGCATATGTAGCAAAATGTTCATATTTGCTATATCTGGGTAAAGGGTAAAGAGGATTTCAAAATAAAAGGTTAAAAATAAACCCTTTCTAGGCCAGATTCAAGTGAGAGGACAAAGGGATTCGTTCTCAGAAGAAGGCTGTTAACCAGTTTCCAAAAGCAGTGGCTGAAACAAAGTATGAGGTTATAGGTAGGAAACAAAAAGATGCGTAAGATCTTTGAGAAATAATTTATGAAACTTTACTGAAAGTCATCAGAGAATACCTAAACAGAGAGAGATTCCATATTCATGGATGGGAAATGCAACCTCAAAGATATCAATTCTCCCAAAATTAATTTATAAGTTCTATCAAAATCTCAACAGGTTGTGTGTGTGTGTGGAACTTGACAAAACGATTCAAAAATTTATATGGAAGGGCTAAGGGCCAGGGAAACCAAGACTTTTGAAGAAAAAGAACAATGTGAGAGACACACCCTAACAGATACTAAGACAT